TTTTAATGTTTTATCGGGCAATAACTACTCCTGACTCTGCTCTAGTGTAATTTTCGAGACAATCAGGGCAGGATTCAGGATTCAGGACAACTGCGTGGATTTCGGCACAGTCCCGAAATCCAAGCAGTTGTCCTGAATCCTGAATCCTGCCATGATTGTCCCGAAAATTACACAGAGGTTGCTGGGGAGGTCAGATACTTGCGTGCTAGGGCTGACAGCTTTTCATAGGCTCCTGAGTGAGCAGACCGCCACTGCAGGGGACAGTCATCAATGCTGATGCTGGGCTCTGCTCTGTAGCACTGCAGCTCTCCCACAACTCAAGCACAAAGAAGCCCTATCGTACACCTACAGACGGATTTTATAAAAGGCAACTCTGTGGCATACAGAAACAGTAAAGTTAGAGATTAAAAATGAGATTAACGCGATCAAAAAACATAGCGCGTTAAATATGGCTGTAATTAATTATTCGCAATTAACGTGATAATTTGACACCCCTAAATATTATTTAGCAAAACAACTAAATACTAACAACAAATAATAATAACGAATAAATAGCTCCTACAAGCAGATATTTCTTTACTTTTATGTCAAGTGGAAATTCCTTCACCAGACAAAATCTTTTCTTTGAAAAAAGTGGAGGTTTCTGACCAAACAGCATTGAAGCATTTGGTTTTCTTTCCACACAGTACTTGCTAGATGGCTAACTAGTGAATCTAGGTATTCCTACTGCTATATTCATGACCATCTAACCTCTGTCAGCCGGAATAGACTGGAGAGTACATACTGTTCTTTTGGTTTACTTCCACAGTGTAACACAAGGGCAGGTAAAATTAAATCATATTGTAGACCTGCTCACTACCTGATCTACTGTAGCCCTCTAACAGGAGCTCCAGGTCTCTGTCTAACAAAACATTGTGCTTTAAAGACAGTAACTCTGGAATATACCTTATCCCTGTATCCATGCACCATGCTCATAAGAGTGCAAGTCTCTCTGTCTAACTAAATACTGTGAATTTTTATTTTTATTCAATATAGGATACTGATAACCATGTGACATCTTGCTAACACTGTGAACTGGGCCTTGTTACCATGCTGTACTAGAGACATATTCCAATGACTTAATCTGTGTTTATAAAACGGGTTGATCCAAGCCTTGATTGTGATTGGCTGGAAGCCGTTGTAAAACCACTATGACCATACACTTGTGACCGCATCACCGTATTACTCCGCCTATTTAATTATTAAACCGTTTGCAGCTGTTACCTATTTTGTTACCTATCACAATGTCGGACTTTGTTGTGAATTTTGATTTACTGGGTGGATTAAGCATGGATGAGTGGCTGGAAGAGATGGATGGGATGGAGAAGGAAGAGCAAAAAGAGAGGAGACACGCTGAAATTAATGAAAGAGAGACTGAAGAGCTGGAAAAGGCAAGAAGTGGAGCTGGAACCATTAAACAGATTCTGTGGTCAGTTCGCTGTTTTCAGACCTGGTGTGCTGAGAAGAAGTTGGCTATTGATTTTAAAACGGTCACCAAGATTGAGCTGAACCAGGTTCTCCACCAGTTTTATACCACTGTGTAAAACGGGAAAGGTGAAGCTTACGGTTTCAGCAGTTATGTTGGCCTTCGTACGGGGCTTAACTGTCACATTAATGATCCGCCCATCAGTTGATCCTGGTGTCTGATGAACGATACCGAGTTCACCACCAGCAACGTCTTCATTGGAGTAGTGAAGAAACTTCGCCGAGAAGGTTGCAACAAAACATCCCACCACCAAGCGTTAACACAGGCCGAATTTCAGAAAATCAAGCTCTCTCGGGCACTGAATCCAAACACACCTGAGGGTTTTGTCAACAAAGTTTGGTTTGATGTGCAGCTGCATATGGGACGCAGAGCTAAGGAGGTCAACCGCCAAATGAAGCCTGACTCATTTATCATCCGACAGGACGAAAACGGTCAGAAACATGCAACGCTGTCATTTAACGAATGCACCAAAAACCACCAGGATGCCAGCTAACAAAACAAAGAGAGTCTGTGGGGATTTATGTTCGAGCAGCCAGGGAACCCACTGTGTCCTGTCGCTTCACTGGAGAAATATCTGTCACTGCTGCCACCCAATCCACCGGCCTTTTATCTCCATTCAAAGCGGAGAAACTACACCGACGATGTATGTTAAATTAACATGTAACGTCTGTTTGTTTTGTTACAGTGTAGCATAGTTACTTTGAAACATTTAGGGGACTTATTTTTCTCTCTCCTAACGGTTAGGTATACTAGAGAGCCCATGGGGGTGAACTTTCTTAGCTCCATGTTGCCCCGGATCTGTAAAGCAGCCGGTACCGAGACCATCTACACCAACCACTGCCTGCAAAGCACCACTGTACAAAAACTCTCTGACACTGGCTTAGAGGCGAGAGAAATCATGTCAGTAACGAGGCATAAATGTGAATCCTTCCTGCAGTCATACTGGCGCCCAAACTACGATGAGAGAAAATCCTGGAGCAACATCCTTGCTTCTGGCACAGTGCAATTAAAACGCACCTGTCCAGAGTCAGACACCCCCGTACTAGCAAAGAGTAGTGCTAACATAATTGAATACTACTTCAGCAATTGCACAATTAATGGAGATATCCAGATAAATGTAGCTAAATAGTCAACCCAGATAAATTTTAATAAGCTTTAAGCAAGCTTTCCACTGTGTTTGTAGCTCCTGTGTGTTTTTGCGTCCGTCTGTTGCTTGTTGAGGAACTATTTGTTTGGCGGAAGAGTGAAAGAATGATTATTTCTCATTAATAAATTATTGCAGCTCTTATTAATGTGTGTTTATTTTATGAAACCCAGCCAGGTATATGTAGTAACTGTTGTGCCTAACAACGCCCCTTAGCTGTGGTAAAATCGCCGGCAAACCAGGGCCTCTTGGGGCTAATTGCTTAAGTTTATTCTTGTGAAGTTCTGTTGCTACCTGCTAAGACTGAATAGAGAGCCTAATAGAATGAAGGTAAATGGAATTTCATTGGCGGTGCTCAGAGCATCCAAAACGTACATTTGAATGGCTCAAAGTGATTTTCTGAAATGTCACTGTTGTTAAGGTTCACCCACAAACCCTGTTACGCAGTTTTCACAATTAACTATTTTCTGCTACACTGTCTCCACACAGCTGCACAGAAAAGGACAGCTCAGCCGTACAGAGCTGCTATGTTTCATTATCACTTCCAAATCTACCTTCATTTTTGACCGATGTGTCAGAATGGACAAAGGTTTACTAATAGGAGCATTATTGCAATGCCAGTATACTGTGGACTGACCTGGATCCCATTGTGGATGAAGCCACGACGGTATCTAGCTGGCCTCAAATGAGGGTATTCCTCAGTGCTGGTCACCTTGATGCCCCACACAGACTTCCAGGCCTCATAGAGCTGGCTATGAACTGGGTAAACGCCAGAGTGGTGCGGAGCCACTGCATAGCCCATATCTGTTGGAATGCCGTGCTCCTGGAGAGGGGGAGGAGTGGAGAGAGGGCAAGATGTGGGCAAATGAGTATATAGCAGGGGGGACAAGCAACAAGGTAAAGAAAACATTATTGTCAAGAGAGAAAAGAAAAAAGAGGCAAGGAAGCACATACCACCCAAACGCAGTTGTGCTCTTCTGGTATTAATATCCAATTCTGTCAGGGCTGTTTCTACAAATGTCTATAACACAAGAAAACTGAAAATAACTAGAATTACTGCCTTGCAGTTGTATGCCTCTGTGCAATAGCCAAGTTTTCCTCACAATTTACATCTATGTCTATGAAAACACAGATGTTTTGTGTTTTGTGAAGTCACAGTGACCTTAACCTGTGACCATCAAACACCAAATTCTAATCAGTTCATCGCTGAGTCCAAGTGGATGTTTGTGCCAAATTTGAGGAAACTCCCTCAAGACGTTCTTAAGATATTGCATTCACGAGAATGGGATGGACGGACGGACGGACGGACGGACGGACAGACAACCCAGAAACATAATGCCTCTGGCTAAGGTCATCGCCAGCGCGGAGCCATCAAAAGACATCTGAATATTCTTTAAAGCAGACGCTACTTGTGAAGCCATGGCTACCTCCTCCTTCCAGTCTCCATGTAGCCACACACTGTGACACTAGCCATGTGCGCAGTGTATTAGTGCTGCTAACCTGGGCGAAAAGCTTGTTGAGCCTCATCTGTTCAGCCAACACACTGACGTTGTGAAAAAGGTGAGGCTGCATGTGACTCCACATGTGAGGAAACCACCAGAAGTCCATCCTGTGTTGCAGCAGCATATCATCTCCCCGATCCTCTTCATCAGTACCTAGAAAAAACACACTTTCAACTTAATTAATGTGGCGTGATCAAGCAGCAACCTCCTATACATATACATACATACATACATATACACACACACACATACATACATATATATACAT